AAGAAAGAAAGAAAGAAAGAAAGAAAGAAAGAAAGAAAGAAAGAAAGAAAAAGAAAAAGAAAAAGAAAAGAAACAAAAAGCAGTTTAATTTTACTTATAAACTAAAAATATAGGTTTATTTTCTTCCAATTTAGATAGAATATTTTGTTTTCAAACTTTTGAAACAAATGTTTTGGAAAGACGGCTGAAAGTGTGAATAGACAGTCCTTAAAATTTACCCTTTACCTGGTTAATATTTGTTTTTAACAAATTGTCGTTCTCTGATGCGAAAAGCAGAATCTTTAGAAATTCCCAGCTTGGTCCTTTCATGGTCAACCTGCCTTACAAATATGTGTACAATGTGTGTTTTGTGAAGCCATCCTTTAATCTCCTGGAACTCAGAATCCCTGTCCTGCAGGCAACAGCCTACTAGTTGCTGCATCACCTTTACCATATCATGACACCTCTCCCCTGGATGCTTCTGATTCTGTACTGTACCACACCACACCACACCATACCACACCATACTACACCACACCACACCACACCACATCACACCACACCACACCACACCACACCACATCACACCACACCACACCATACCATACCACACCACCTTACAGTCTGCTGCTAATCCAATGTTCATCATTTCTGCAGGCCTCCCCCTCTCCTGTGTAGGTGCTGGTTTTCCTACCCACCCTCCAAAAGGATTATCTCTTCCCACTAGGCTGCTTTTCATTTCACAGCTAACAAAATCAATGCAAGCTATGTTTTTTTTTCTTGTCTTATGGGAAGAAATGAGTAAAATCTCACTTTCCTTCCTATGTCCATATGCTGCAAGCCCACAACCTTTCTATCTCTTACACATCCTTCTGCAGGACTCTCACTCCCCCCTTGGCTACACCATGACCCAGCTCATTTCAGGGTTTACTCATTAGATGTAGGATGCCAGGAATTTTTAAGGCTATGACTCACCAGCAAATCTTGCAGTTGCTGGGTCTGTGGCCTTGTCAGCAGTGAGTACATGGCCTTGGTTGGAAAGAGAAGACTTGAAGCACATTCATGTCTTTAGATTTAGATTTCAGACTGGCAATCAGACTAATTCTAAGGTTGGACAATGTTTCTTTTCTATTCCTAGTAATTGCAGCTGAGAGGGGGTGGTTTTTCGTGTGTGTTTTTGATTGGTTGTTTGGTTGTTTTGGGGGGGTTGTTCTTTTTAGTTTGTTTGTTTTTATGTCTGTTTTGAGACTGTCAGAGGGGACAGATCATTGCACTGGAACAGTTGCCATTTTACATGTTGCCTGTCAATAACTGCTCAATCAGTTGCATATTAGCGGTGGAAAGGCTCTGTTAATTCAGTGGCATTGAAAACTGAACATTCTGAAGAACATTTGTGTCTCCATCTAGCATTTAGCTATCACTGGAGTTGTACTGGGATGCAGAAGGAAAAGAAGAACATTCTTTCATTGGAAAGCCTTACTTCCCAATGAAGAAATTAAGTGACAGCCTCTGATAGCATCTTATAAAAAGGCCCAGCGTGTACTAAATGCTGTTTACTAATGAATGATGAATGTTGACAGAGATAATATTTAAGGGATGCCTACTTCTGCCTTGTTAGTATTTTTCGAAATAGAGTTGTCTGACTATCTTAGCTGAGAACAAGGTACATCCTGAATATTTGCTACAAGGCATAAAATCTTTATGTGGAAGAAGCAGAGCTCTCCTAAGCACAGGGAAGTGCCAGGAAGAAAGATGATCTCATGGCTGACATTGAAGTTTGGTGTTGCTGTCTCTGGTGCCCTAAGTTATTGCCATCCACAAAGACTTTTTAAACTGGGTTGCACAGGTTAATGCATGGAAATACCACCTGAATGCATGTCAGGACCAAACTGAGACTATTCCTCAAAGCTTGAAAGTCTTTGATCCTTAACTTGAACTTTGATACTAAAGGTTTTGCAATTACAGTACTCTCGATTGAGAGTGGAATGGGTACAAGAATATAATAAAAATGACAAGTGATGTACAGTGCATTTGCTCACCACCAGCTGACCAATGCCCAGCCAGTCCCCAAGCAAGGGCAGCCCTACCAGCCAAGCCGCCAGTTTATTGCTGGCCATGACACCACATGGCATGGGACATCTCTTTGGCCAATCTGGGCCAGCTGTCCTGCCTGTGTCCCCTCCCAGCTCCTTGTACACACCGGATACTAGGAGGAAAATTAACTCTATTCCAGCTGAAACCAGGACAATACATGCCATAATGTTCTTTGGGATGAATCGTTGGTAGCTGTGGATTGATACATATTTGACTTACATTTCTTTTTAAACAACAGATGATCAGAGAGGCAACACTTGCAGTGCCCCTGGACTTAGGGACATAATTTTCTTTTCAGTATGTCAGAAATCCTAAAAAAGTCATTACATAACAGTAAATACTCTTCTGAAAATTCCATCATGTGCAAAATTTCCTCTTCACTTTCTTCCAGAATATGAATTAATACAAAGCCTGTTCAAACTTGGCTGCCTGCCATCATTTATTAGTGGCTGGTGGTTATGGAAAAAAAAAAAAAAAGGTGGGGGGGGAAGGAAATATGAGGCAGCAAAGAGTGTGCAATTTTAGGAGAGATTAAAAGAAGAGGCCAGCAAAATGGAACAGATGTCTGTTGTTCCCTTCCACTGGAATGACAACATTTCTGTCTCCTCAAGGAAGAAAAAAAAGAAAAAAGCTTTTTAAGGGAGAAAGGAAAATCTTCATAGTACTAAGGACTGAAGGGACTGTAAGAAAGAAAATTAATGAATTAGATGAAATGTTGTTCTATATCCAGACTCCCTGCCACCAGCAATATTTGCATCTGTATAAGCAAATAGATGTAATAGTATGTAAATTAGGGGGACAGTAAGTAAAAAAGTGGCAAGTTAGTGCATGGTCTAGCTGTAGCTGATGTCAGGTGCAGACAGAGAAAACCTCTCTGATGTGGGAGCTGCAACAGGCAGCCGAGCCACATGTTGGCAGTGACATTTATGGGGTTGTGTATGGGGGACGGGTGGGATGCATGGGGTATGCAGAGAGAACCAAGAGAGGTTTTTATCAAGCATCTGCTGCTGAGGGTCTGAAATACAGAAAGGTGTTACCTGATAACCAGTGCTTCTGCTCTGTAAGTTTCAATGGAAAGGGCTGATGGTTGGCAGCCCTGTTCTGATGGACTTCCTTGGTTTTAACAATCAGTAGCAGGAAAGGCTTACTGTTCAATCCCATCCCTTAAGGACTGCCCTTTCCAACAGATGGCTCACCCCAAGGAACCCCTGTGCCAAGATGGATTTTTTACACTCTGAGTTCATTTGCATCCAGATGAGTCTGGGTCTCTGCATGTTCAGACTGAAGAGTTGCCATCAGAGATGTTGAACAGAAAGGCCAAATTTCACATCTAAACATTCAGCTGCACAGGGCTGGAAGGCTATAATCTTGCTAATAGGTTAGCAATCAAAACGTCTGAGAAATCAATGGTCTTAGCTGTAGACTGAAGTAAGTATTTTGTTAGGAGAAAACAAGTATCTACTTGAACGAAGATCTAAATATCTAAGTAAGATGTAAAAGGAAATCATTTTTTCTCTTTTTTTTGTGAATGAAGAGTGGACTGGATTGTGCCACGAGAACAGGGCCACATTCAGTTAGTGGCACTCGCCACTGGGAGGCCATGGAAGGAGCTCTGACTTCGTGGGTCTCCACAGAAGCAAAATCCCAAAAAGCCCTTCCCAGCTCATGCTGCTATGCAACACCTGAGTTTGCTGTTCTCCAAGAGTGGGAACTGATCTCTGGATATCCTACATAAGGGACATCTGCCAAAGAAATTGATTTTAGCCTGGCTGCAGATACAGTGTCCTTTAAATTTTGCTTTATTGGGTTGAATTTCAACACATTTTTGCTTCACCACAGCCTAGCTTTCATCCTGTTTCTGCTGAAAACACTTGTCACACTGCAGAGCTCTGTGCCACCCTGTTTTTCTTTCATTCTGCTGTGGAGGTGTTATGCCACGAAGCTTAACCCGTCCGGTCCCAGTGGGCATCTGTCCCCGCAGTGGTGCAGGCACCCTGCATTGTAGAGACTCATTGTTGCATCCCATAACTACTCAGCACTCAGTGTACTTGTGAGAGCCTCCCTGTCCTCAGGGGTGCGGTGCCAAAACATGGTACTTCTACAGATGTCCTGTGTATAGGAAAAAGTTCAGTTTCAGCCCAAGGAAAGTCTTAGTGCATATGAGTATGGCTTCAAGTCTATCCATGCACTCAATGTGACTGAAACTAGTATTAGTTTTGAGGATCAAGAGGAGATGCAAAGTTGGAGGAGATGAGGAACAAGTGTTTTGTTACCACTGGAACATGTTCATGGTATCGGTATCCTATTGGAAGAGTCTGATTTTCTTTAAGTGTACTCTCACCCTCTGAGTAGCACTGTAGCACTAAAATTCTTGCATTCTTTCTTGTTAGAGTTGTCTGTTTTAATGTTGTTTGGAAAATGTGACAATGTAGTTTAAGCTCTGATTCTGTGTGCTTTCTGTATGCCGTAATATATTTCCATGATAAAGACATGTAGCTGCTCGGTGTTTGGCAGTGCCTTTCCCTTAAAATCCATTTACAGCAGGAGCTAACCTCAGAACACAGCATTCATATTCTCAGCAGGTCAGAACTGATTTTAATTTTAATTTTCTTTTTATAGAACTGTATAAATTCCTATTTACAATGCAGTACCTTGTAACCTTGTAATCATGTTTTGTTTTGCTTTCTACTCCTTTCTTTTTCTTTTATTTATTTATTTATTTGTTTGTTTATTTATTTTTAAGGGATTTACTAATTAAAAGAAAACTTATAACATGGTAATTGTAGCTATCAGATATTTTTGGTATCTTAAGATAGCATTGAATGTTCCAAAGTAGAAAAAGAGCTACTTTACAGTCAGGATTAGTTAGGATTAGTCAGGATTCTGATTTTTCTAAAGGATGCAAAAATCTTGTAGCAAAAATGTTACTATGAGAGTAACTTTTGAATAGCCACATTGTAGACTAAAGTAGGCAAACAAAACAGCCCTGTTCTGCAGGCTTTTGGTTTTACAGGAAAGTACATCACTGCAATGGTGCAGCTCTGACACTTGCATTTAGTTTGAAGTAATTAAATAACTTGCAGTATAAGGTCTTTTTCTTTCTATAAGTATTTCTAACCTCTGCCTGCAATGCGTATAGAGATGTGTTAAAATATATAAGCATTTCTAAATATTCTCTTTTTCTTTTTTTTTTTTTTTAGTTCATTAAAGTAAATTTTATGTACTTTAAAGAAGATAGAAATATGATACATAAATATTACTGAAAGTCTCATTTATACTATTTTCTACAGCTTTTGCATTTAACTGTCACTGTCATCATCATTTAAACTCTATTTGCAGAGCACATGGAGAGCAAGAACACCAAATTTGCCTAGGAAAATTGGACCAAGCTTTTACTTTTGTTGTATTTGTGCAAGTTAGAAATGGTGTCTCAGCTTTGATTTTTATTTCCGGTTGTTTGTTGGTTTGTGAAGAAACATCCATGCCATCTGTGTATTGCAGGAAGCCTGCACTCCAGCAGGTCATTATGTCTGTGATAAGAAAGTCTATAAACAATTTAATTTGCATCACTTTTTACTTTCTACTTCATTAAAAAAAAAAATAAAAAAAAAAAAATGTGTTACTATTATTTGAGTAGTTCTGGAATTTATTGTTAATTTAGTTGTATAGATCAAAATATTACTAGCTGCTGCTAAAATTTTTATTTTTTTTTTCTGTCCAGTAGTCACTAATTTTTACTGAAGAATTTTGAAATCATTTATATCAGCCATCTAACAAAAGCTACAAAAGCTCCTGAACTTCTTTATTTATGTTGTTTCTATTTTTTTCTCTACCTCTTATTCAACAAAAAGATTCCAGATGCATTTATTTTCAGGCAGTTAATTATCCTCAGAGATCAGATGTTTGGCTGATTCATAGAGAAACTTACAGCCTTCCTCATGGTCGTGGTTTTTCGAGTAGGAACTAGCTTCCAGATTTCACCTTCTTTCCTTTTATGATCTGATTCTCGTTATGA